AAAGGTCAAAGAAGGTATCTTACAGTTATAAATGCAAACAGCACAGTTATTAATATTGTTACTATTACTATTACAGTAGTATTAGAAAAAGTTCCTGGGTGGTGTAAACAGTTAACATGCTCACTTCTGAGAGCTGGAAGTTCAAGTCCATCCAGAGGGATCTTAGAAGAAAGACCTGGTAATCTACTTATGACACGAGCCACTGAAAATCCTATGGAGCACAGTTCTGTGCTGACACACGACGCCACCGTGAGTCACAATCGACTCAACAGAAACTGGTGAAGGAACACTTAAGAGTCCAAGAAGTCATTCTGGCTATTCAAGATTAATTGTGATTGTCAAACCTGTACTTGTAAAAAAAAAAAAACAAAAAAAAAAAACACAACAAAAACTGTAATTGTAGATGTGGAACTAAAAGGGGGTGGAGGGCCATTAATCTTTCATTGCAGGTACAGATGATCCCAGGGCCATCAAGAAGGAAGACCATGAGTGTTCCCTACCTAAGAAAGTGGTGACAGCAGAGATGGTGACAGAGGTGGTGACATGGAGAGACAGAGCAGTTGCAGGCTTTAGGCCCCTGGATTGAATAAGGCTAAATGTGTGCAGGCAGGAGGCTGGCAGGCAGAATATGCCCTTTAGATATTTAAATGAATATTATGAGGGCAAGTCAAAAATTATATGTACTCCAGTTATATTAAAATGCCTGTCCATGTCCACGGCTGATGACAATATCAAGCGTGCAAGTGAAATGATTCTGTCGAATAGACAACTGATAGTGGATTATGCGGCAAATCATTTGCAAATCAGCCTATAAGAAAATCCATGGCAGATTTAGGTATCAAAAAGTTTGTGTGGTGGGTACCAAAACAACTCAAGGAAGGGCATTAACAGAAGCATTTGGATATCTGCAAACAAAATTTGGAGTGATATTCAAAGGAAGGTAAAAGTTTCTGAAAGGAAAACAATCATAACTGATGATGAGACATAGATTCATCACTACGAGCCTGAGAGTAAACAGCAGAATATGGAAGAGAAACATCCTCAATCACCGAACAAGAAAAAGTTGAAAAGTCAACCATCAGCTGGAAAATTGATGATTAGAGTTTTCTGGGATTCTCAAGGGGCAGTACTGGAACACTACCAGGTAAAAGGTTCAACAATCAGCAGTGCTCCTTACAGTGAGATACTCACTGACGAGCTGATGCCTGAACTTTGGATTAAACTCAGAGAGCTGCTATTCAAGGGTGTTGTGATCTTGAATGACAATGCATGTCCATACACTTCTGTCCATCCTGTTGACATTCTGCAAAATCTTTGTTTTGAGGGGTTAAAGCATCCTCCCTATAGTCCTGATCTTGATCCGTCAGACTTTCACCTGTTTGGTCCCGGGAAAGCACTCTTTTAGGATGAAGATTCACCTCGGATGAAGTGAAGACGGCAAAGCAGCTCAGTCTAAAACATTTTTTAATAAAGGAATATGAAAGCTTGTTGACAGATGGACAAAATGTCCTGAAAAGCAAGGAGATTATGTCAAAAAATGATTCTTTTCTAAAAGGTGGTTAAAGTAAATTCTACAGCCAGAGTACCATTAATTTTTGACTCACCCTTGTATATTTTTTGATTTTTAAGTGTACATCAAATATTTTGCCCTGTTCATTTGTGAAATATTAAGATGTAAATGGGAAGTCACAGGGAGGAAGTAGAATAACTGTTACTGGTGGGGATTAGAATTAAAAAAAAAAAAGGAAATTGACCTGGACTTGATACAAGATAATACTAAGGAATTATTGTTAATTTTGTCAGATGTAATTAAAGAAATGCGATTTTTAAAAAAATAATTAAAAATAAAGAAATTCTCTGAAAAAATTAAAATTATATTGAAAACATGAGTGTAATGGGTTGTATACTCTTAGCTATTTTTTGCAATTTCTTTAGCAGTTTGCCTGTGATGCATTACATTCTGGTTTAATGTTTATTCAATAATAAAATTCTTTCTCTGTAAAAAAAAACTTAAAGATGTATAGCTAGCCGAGTGCACCACAAAACTTTTTAAATGAAATTTTAACATTGGAAAGTGTAGGCAGAAATCATTATTAAAAACTGCCTTGCAGTAGGTATAACATCTCAGAGAGGTTGGTAATCACTGTTAAGGAATATGTGAGAAAACAGAAATGAAGACTTGGGATTAAGCTGCAGCCTCAGAAAGAGGTAAGAAAAAGTTCTGCACACTGGTGGCCAAATATCTGATTAGCTAAGAAAGGAAGTGCTTGCCCAAAGTCTACTCAAATAGTAAGCTGTCAAGCCTTACACTTCCAAGCATGAGTTAAATGTGCTCTCCCAACGCAGGGTTTCTAAAATGTTGATGGCATACAACTTTATTCATTGTTGCCAAGACATACATAGAATGCTCAGGATCAATTTCCAAAAATTGTACTTCAATAACAATCAATTTTAGTGTTAAATAATTTATCAAAACATAAGACATATCATAGGGCATTTGGTCTGATATTTTGATGACAATGAAGAAACAATGTAGGTCTTTTATCTCTTTGACTTAATTTCTCCATGAAATGATTCTGTCTCAAGTGTCCAATTAAGGGACTCACAGAACTCCAACCTGAATTCAGTCTCATACCATCACTAACATGCAATCTGATTCCTCTTAAATGTTTTCTGCCACTCTAAAATAATTAATTCTCTGTTACCCAGTCTTTTAACTCTGTTACCCAGTATTCTCTTCTCTACCTATCTTCCTTACCTATGCAATCACCAAGCTTTCTTGTAGACTTTCATTGAAAGTATTTTTGCATACAGCTTTTTTAAGTCTCACTTCTACTCTTCCCTCATCTGGGTTCTCACTATCTAATATCAGGACTATTGAGAAACTCCCTTACATACTTCCCAGTGTCTATCTAGTCCCTTCTTTCTGCCATGCCTATTAGACATGACATATTGTTGGCTTCATGTCACGTCACCTCCTCTCTCTCTAAAGCCCAAATGCTGCCTATGAACACTGCCCATAACAAAGTTTTTCAACCTATGCTCTATGCAGTACTACACTGCTGCATCAACAAAGCAGTTCTATTTGAATTTGTTCTGTCTGTTACTAATTATGCGTTACATTTCAATGGGGAAAAAGTATCCTTCTACTAAAAAGAAAACAAGAATATGGAACTCACTGGTCTATAGCATCAATTCTAGAGGAGCTATAATTTGGCTTCATTGTGCAAATCTCTGTTGCTTCTCTTTATAAATTGAGTTATGCACTCAGTAATATAAATTGAGAAACCAGTATTTGCCATGCACTATAAATCAATAAAAAAGACATAGTCCCCGTCTTCATAAAATTTACAGACTACAAGATAAATTAACAATTCTAATGAGGTGTGCTAAATTCTCCAAGAGAAAAAATTTCTCCATCTAACAAGTGAGTGATAAGACTCTCCAATTCTAGGGTTTTGTAGCATATAAATGAATAAACAGCCTCTATCTGAAAGGGCTACAGGGAACAGTCTTGGCGGTTAAAGCCAGATTTTAATTAAAGCAAGAATGTGAAACAAATACAAAAAAGATGGAGGATAAAGAACAATTTGTTAATCCTGGGCAGAATTCCACAGGGCACAGTGAAAAGGCTTGGGAAAGGAAAAGATTGTTATAAGCTTAGGTTGGATGGAAGCACAGAGCTTGAATTTTGAGTTGTGAGCAAAAATAATAGAGATGAGAGGCATCATAGGGTTAATGGGCTACATGGTTATAAGCAAATTAGTTGAGATTGTACAATGGGGAGGGAGGGGGACAACTCCAGTTTATCAGGATTCATCTGTCACATAAATAGATGGCTCTTCCGATGAAATTTCTAGTAAAGACACTTCCTAAATAGCCATTAAGGAGCTCTGGTAGTATAGTAGTTACAAATTGGGCTGTGAACCGCAAGGTCAGCAGTTTGAAACTATCAGCTGTTCTATGGGAGAAAGATGAGACTTTCTGCTCCCGTAAACATTTACAGCCTTGGAAACCCTGTATAGGGTCGCTATGAGTCGGAACCGACTCCACGGCACATAACAACAACAATAACAAGTAGCCATTAGTGGCCTGGATTTATTTCTTGGGTTCTAGGGAAAATGTCTAGGCTTCTGATTTCTGGCATAGAAGCTTGAGATTCTGAAGATGCTGTGTTTTGCTGGATATTAGAGGTTCCCAAGAGTTAACAGTAGGACATTTTTTAGTATCTTATTCAGAAGTCTGTAGGGTATCATGTACAAAGCATATGTTTGACAAATTTTTCTGGCTGCAGAAATCTATGTCCTTCATGGCACTGACTGACAGGAGAGTATCTTTAATGATCTTTAACTTCCAAATCTCCCACTGACTACTTGTACTTCAGTTTCTTTACCTATACCATAGTGGTAATAACAATATCCCTCACACAGGGTTACAGTGAGGATTAAATGAAATTGAAACACGTAGACTGACTAAAAACACACCTGGCATACAGTTAGGGGTCCTGGTGGCACTGTGGGTTAGGCACTGGGCTGCTAACTGAAAGGCTGGTGTTCAAATCCACCAGCTGCTCTGCAGGAGACAGATGAGGCTATCTGCTCCCACAAAACTTCAGACTTGGAAAACCCCATGTAGGGTTGCTAGGAGTTAGATCGGCTTTGAGATGGTAGTGGGTTTGTTTCTTTAGTTTGGGCATTAAGTGTCTTTCTGAGAGGCAGTTTGCACAGAGCAGGAGAACACTTGGTTATTTAAAACCCTGTACTACTATATGCTGTTGATAAGTACCATCTAGTTGATTCCTATTCACAGCAATCCTGTATGGCGTTTCCAAGGCTGTAAATCTTTACGGGAACAGAAGACCTCATATTTCTGCCATGGAGCGGCTGATGGGGTAGAGCCGTCAACACTGTGAGTTTCCATGCACAGTGCAATGGATGTATTAAATACGTCTTCAAACTTCAGCCATCACTTAATAGCAAGTCTATGAAGTTATTACTTACCTGGATCAAAATTATCACCAAATATTCTCTTGGCAGGAATCTTCAGGGCCATAGCAGGAAATTGCTTCTTTAACTAAAATGAAACAGTTATGTGAACTTAATTTTATAAGTCTTTTAGATAAATGCACCAAAACTAAATACAATCTGATTTTAAAGAAAATCTCTCATATGACATACTTTAAAATATACTATCACCCAACATAGAATATTAAATTACTGTTAAAAAAACAAAACAGAATAGACTCATCATCCTTAATATGTGTGTGACATTGAGCAAATTATTAACATCTCTGTGCCTTGTTTTCCTTACATGTAAAATGGGAATAATAATTTTAGTGCTTAGCTTACAGATATACTACAATGCTTAAAAGAGATCATATATGAAAGAGCTTAAAATAGAACTTGGAGTATTGTTGCTGTTAAGTGCCGTGGAGTCAGTTCTGACTCATAGCGACCCTTTTATGGGAGCAGAAAAGCCTCATCTTTCTCCCACGGAACAGCTGGTAGTTTCGAACTGCTGACCTTGCAGTTCACAGTCTGATTTGTAACTACTATGATACCAGAGCTCCTTGAACTTGGTGTATAGGTGTCGACTATGCATCACCCATCATGCATTACCTCAGCATCCTGGTATGGTGCTGTAGGATAAACACTTGCCTGCAATGCTGACTGGAACCACAAGGTCAGTGGTTCAAGTCCACCAGCCAGTCCTCAGAAACTCTATATAGGGTATAGAGGCACTTAACAATGACATGTATTACCTCAGAAGAAAATATCATCTTTGTGTTTTTACTACATATATAGAGTAACATTAGTTTTCTAAGAAAGTTAAATGAATTTGTAACACTCTTCTGCTCTACCCATGGAGAAGCCCTGGTGGCTGTAACAGTCTTCCTGTTAATGTTGTTAAAGTGCCGTTGGCTCAACTGCACTTAACAACAATTGTGTATTTTATTATATAATTATGAATTCATGTAATGTAATTAAGTATACTAGAATTATTAATGGGAAGGGAGTAGATAAGGTTTCTGAGGATTGACTGATGGGTTTGAACCACCAACCCTGAAGTTAACAGTACAGTGCTTATACTACAGCATCATAACAGCATTCCATACATTTATTTAATTATATTATAATATATATACTAAATGTAAACTTTGCTTATTGCCATAGAAGGTACCACTCGGCCCTGAGAAAATTAAATTTTGAAAATTTTAAAAAGTAAATTTTTAAAATAAAAAATTGGGTTACATGTTTATTATAACCTTCATGTAAAAATGCTGTCCACACACACACTATTGATCCAACTACCAACTGACAGTAAATACAAAGAATATTAGTCATTGCACTATGGGGATGCTATCAGTGAAATCCAGACTGAAAAAGTCACAGATAAATTACTTTTTTAGCTGCTATGCAGCTAAACAATGTCTGGGTCATCTTGACCCATACAAGAATTAATACGCATACATATCTCTTAGTTAAGGTATGTTTAACTTCCTTCATATTTAAAAATGGTCACAAATAGCTCACAGATTTAATATGCAGGCATACCTCAAAGATATTGCAGGTTCAGTTCCAGACCACTGCAATAACGTGACTATTGTAATAAAGTGAATCACATGAATGTTTTGGTTTCCTAGTTCATATAAAAGTTATGTTTACACTACACTGTAGTCTATTAAGGGCGCAACAGCACTGTAAAGAAGTTTAAAATATTGTGAGAATTACCAAAATGTGACAAAGACATGAAGCGAAAACATGCTTTAGAAAAAAGGGCGCCAATAGACTTGCTCAATGCAGGGCTGCCACAAACCTTCAATTTGTTAAAAAAAATAAAGGGAGGGGGACAACAAACTAAAAAGCAACAAAACAAAGTATGCTTATATTTATTTATCCTTATTTTTAAAATCAAGAGACAGAGTTAAGAACTGTGAAAAAAATTACCTTTGTATGTATATTGATGTTAAATGCCTTAGAATCAGTTCCAACTCACAGCAACCCTGTAAGGGATTTTCAAGGCTTTCTCTTCTTTCAATCTTTTAGGGAAGCAGAAAGCCTCATCTTTCGCCAGCAAAGCAGCTGGTGGGCTCGAACTGCAGACTTTGTGGTTCACATGCCAGTGCTTATCAAATTGAGCCACTATGCTCCTGTATATATGCAGGATTTTCCTGGAGGTCAACTACTCATTAAACAACGACACCAGGAGATCGTTATTGTTAGAGAATTACTCTAAATTTGGGATTTGAGGCACGGTTGCTTCAAATCTTGGAATCAGAACTTCCTTAAATCTGGATTTCTGTAACTATGAAAAGGAGGAAGACACTCAATGGGATGGAGTGACACAATGGCTGCAGCACTGGGCTCAAACATAACAACAGTTGTGAGGATGGCTCAGGACCAGGCAGCGCTTTGTTCTGTTGTGCATGGTGTCCATGAGTCGGAACTGACTCGACAGCAACAACTTAACTGCCACTAAAAAGTTCTTTGGCTTTCGATATACGTATGGCCTTAAAGCAATGTTATTTTCAGGTGCTGCTGAGTTGATGCATGTATCCAACAGAACCAAACGCTGCCTGGCCCTGCACCATCTTAATAATTGTTGTTATGTTTGAGCCCATTTCTCAAGCCACTGTATCAGTTCATCTCACTGAGGGTCTTTGCACTCTGACCCTCTACTTTACCAAGCATGATGTCTTTCTCCCATGATTGGTCCCTCCTGAAAATGCATCCAAAATAAGCAAGGTTTAGAGTCAGTGATATAAACCACAGAGGACTAGAGTGGAGAGTGAAGCATCCAGCTGATACGAAGAGAGGGCTTATGCATAAGAACCCCCACACTTGCAGATAATACCCACTTGACCTGGCTTCAATGGCTGGATAATCAGAGCTCAAACAGAAGAGGAAAGAAGAGGGAGAAAAGAATAATCTGATACAATTTGATGGACTTGACCTACACCTATGGAAGCAGTAGCTCAAAAGAGGGACCAAATCTTCACAGCGAGGATCATTCCCACCTCCTCTGCACATGGAGAGGACAGGGATGGGCAACTTGGACATTGGCTATACAGAATAGGGGTGCTACAAAGGCAAGAAATGACTGGCTTACAAGCTTTCAAGCGGGAACCTAGATCCAGAGGGCGTGGAGAAAGGTAGAATCTCCACTAATTAGTATCTGTTCTGCCTAGTCAGGGCTGATGAAAGGAAATGCGGATAGTTCTCTTGCAATACAATAGCAAGTAATTGTTATCAGGACTGACTGTAAGGGCTGGAAATGTAAAGGTAGATGTTTTGGCACAAAGGAGGGGAGTGATTAACCTTACAGTCTAGGAGAGGAGGTCCCTGGGACCATCAAAGGGGGAAGAGCGGAGAACAGAACCCTACTCAGAGAAGCAGTGATGCCAGGGATGGAGGCAGAGATGATGACATGGGGAGATGGAGCAGCTGGGGGCTGGGGACTTTGGACCTGGAGAGGGAGAGGGGCTGTATGCGGACGACTGGGGGGGGGGGCAGGCTTGCGGGGGATACCCTTTTGCTGATGGATGATGCATGGAAGGGACTGTAACCATGGCAAGGAAAAGATATACAACAGGATCAATGTGAAGCTGATGTACTCCCATGTAAATTCTCACATAATTCACAATAAAGCATTTTTGAAAAAACCCAAAATAAGGAAGGTGAAATCTTGCCATCTATGCTTCTAAGAATGTTATGGCTGTACTTCCTCCAAGCCAGATTTATTCATTCTTCTGGCAGCCCGTGGTACATTCAATATACTTCACCAACACTACAATTTGAATGCATCAATTCTTCTTCAATCTTTCATTTTCACTGTCCAGCTTTTGCATGCATATGAAGCTACGGAATAAAAACCATTGTTTGAAGTAAGCTCACCTTAGTCCTCAAAATGACATCTTCATTTTCAAGATTTCAAAGAAGCGTTTTGCAGCATATTTGCTCAATGCAGTACACACAGTTCCCAACTTAAGACCTATTTGAGCTGTGTCAAAACCACACTTACAGGCATATGACTGTAGAATCAGAAGTGTCAAAACTGAAACTGTAAAGTTTATATGCAATGTTTCCAACTCACAAAGACAAATAAAGATTGAATTTGTAAAGATACTGATAAGAAAAGCCAGTAAGAAGGAAGGAAAAAAAGAGATATTTGACTTCCATAAGAACAAACTTAGAATGAAGCCATCAGAACAGAACTCTGTTATTGTAAGTCAGGGACTACCACCTGTAGGCCATTTGATTTTTTGGTTGCTGCTTCCGGGGGATCTGACTGTTGATCTGATCCAAGTAAAATGAAATCCTAGACAACCTTCAATATTGTCCCCATTTATCATGATGTTGTGTATTGGCTCAGTTGTAAGGATTCTTGTTTTCTTGGTGTTAAAATGTAATCCATACTGACGCTGTAGTCTGAGCTTCATCAGTAAGTACTTCAAATCTTCTTCGCTTTTAGCAAGCAAAGTTGTATCATCTGCAAATGTTGCAGGTTGTTAACGAATCTTCCTCCAGTCCTGATGCTGTGTTCTTCATACAGTCCAGTTTCTTGGATTATTTGCTTCAATTTGCATAAGTATGGAGAAAAGATATACACACCTTTCCTGATTTTAAACTACATGGCATCCCCTTGTTCTGTTCAAACAATTCCTCTTGATCTATGTACAGGTTCTTCAAGAGCACAATTAAATGCTCTAGAACTCCCCTTCTTTGCAATGCTATCCATAACTTGTTATGATCTACACAGTTGAATACCACTGCACAGTCAATAAACTGCAGGTAAACCTCTTTCTAGTATTCTCTGCTTTCAGCCAAAAGATCCTTCTGACATCAACAATGATATCCCTTGTTTTACGTACTCTTCTGAATCTGGCTTGAAGTTCTAGCAGGTCCCTGGTCAATGTTTAGCTGCTGTCATTTTTAATTATCTTTAGCAAAGTTTTGCTTGTTGCATGTGATATTAATGATATTGTGCATGAAATTATAAGAACAAGGTTGGACATCATGACAGAGATTTTCAGACCCAATACTAACAATTGGGCAATTTAACCAGAAATAACAACATGATTATTAACAACTATTTAAAAGGTCCAAGGAAGGATTTATTTGTAGTAGTCATGACATGAAGGAGTCTTGATGTGGCACTGCAGAATAAGCACTAGACTGCTAACTGCAAGGTTAGCCGTTCAAACTCACCAGTCACTACTCGGAAACTCTGTACAGGATTACTATGAGTCGGAACCAACTCGACAGAACTTAGTAACAACTGCATGACATTAAAGGAGCTCTGTGGTATAATGATTAAGCACTTGGCTGATAACCAAAAGGTTGGGGGTTCAAACCTACCAGCAGCTCTGTGAGAGAAAAACGTGGCAGTTTGCTTCAGTCTAAAGATTTATAGCCATGGAAGTCCAGTTCTACTCTGTTCTATAAGGGAACTATAAATTGGAAGCAATTTGACAGAAACCGGCCATAATGGCTAAATACTCCGGTACTAACTGAAAGATTAGCGGTTCAAACTCACCCAGTGGCTCTGTTGGAGAAAGGACTGGTGATCTGCTTCTGCAGATTGTGCTGTTGTTGTGAAATGCTGTCGAGTCAGTTCCAACTCATAGCAACCCTATATAGAGTTTCTGAGGAGTGGCTGGTGGGTTTGAACCACAGACCCTGTGGCTCAATCTGACCTTGCGGTTCAGTGCACTATCCTACTGCGCCACACCAGGACTCCCCTCTAAAGATTACAGCTAAGAAACCCTAGGGGGCAGTTCTACTCTGTTACATGGGGGCGGTATGAGTCACAGTCAGTTTGATGGCACCCAACAAGATGAGATTAGAACATCTGTTAAGCTGTACATCTAATTTCCATATCACCAAAGATTTATTTGGAACTGCTCAACAGTCCCTTGTCTCCCACCTATTTCATGAATTCCAAAGTTAGGATACTTGAAAAGTCTCTTACTCTTTACTGCTTGTCTGATACATCATAACTCTTAGTATTGGTTTTGTCTCAAAGGTTTTGTTTTAAATATTTGAACATAGACTGAGTATAACTTACAGTGTTGTAGAGTTTATCAAATTCTGCATATCTTCTGAAGACAAACCACTCACTTCTACCCACTGAAACCAAGACTTTATAAACCTGTGGAAATAAAAACCAACATAATAAAATTTAATTGTAAAAACAAACTCATTAATCAATTAAATATATAAAGCCTGTTTTCATACTTATAAAATTAGCATTAAATATTCATATTTATATGATTTGCCAACATATAAAGGTTTATCACCGAAAACAACATTATCAAAAGGCAACATTTTATTTAAATGTGATGAAATGTTTCTGTAATTTTCAGTGAATACAGCGAACACCCCTGTATACACTACTTAACCAGCTCCATCAACTTCGCTCTGCCTGACAATAATCTACCGATGTCAGAGTACAACTGTGTCCACTGAGTTTTCAATGGCTGATTTTTCAGAAGTAAATCACCAGGAACTTCTTATGAGGCATCTCTGGGTAGAAGTGAATTTCCAACCTTTTGGTTAGGAGCTGAGTGTTAACTGCTTGCACCACCCAGAGATGCCACCTATTATTTAGATCTACTGAATTTTAATATTTTGACATCTTTTTGTTTCAGATTTCTCCCCAAAATATTATAGATTCAGTTGACACCGTTCCCCTCCCTTCTTACCCAGTAGTAACCACTACCCTGAAATTTGAAGCTATTTACTTCCAAAACTGATGCCTGACACATACCCAAATGCACTCTATTGCTGTTGAGTCACTTCTAACTCACAACAACCCTACAGGACAGAGGAGAACTGCCCCACAATGTTTCCAAGGTTGTAATCTTAATAGTAGTCTGTCATGGTTTTCTCCCAGAGGCCTGTGGGTTTGAACCACTAACCTTTCCATTAGCAGCCAAGTGCTTAATCCAAGTGGTCAAGCTTAACCACCTAGCACACAGTAAACACTCAATTAAATGTTAGTTTTCCTCTCTCAAGGTCATCGTTCACACAGTATTTTTCAAGAATTGTCCTCAGATTTCCTAATAATATCTTAATATGTGTTTAATATTCTCATATATTAATCTTAGTCAACATATGAAAAAAGCAGAATATTCCAACCCCCACTATACATATGAGGAAATGATGGCTCAAAAAAGTTAACTTGCCCAAGTTCACACACTTAATTAAAAACACACACCATAAAACTGGAATTAAAACCTATTATGTTCTATCCCTCTATGCACTATAATCCCTAAGTAAATACTTAACACAACCACCTCTCATAATTCATTCCACTACTTCGAGTATAATTTAATAAACCAATATTGAAAATACAGTATGGGACTCCAAAAGCCTTACATCATTTCTAAAGGGAAAATGCTAAGTTTCTAATTACATACACATCCTGGTGTGGCTCTGCAGGATAAACAATAGACTGGTAACCCCAAGATGGCAGTTCAAACCCCCTATCTGCTCTCAGAAACCCTACACAAGGTCGCCATGAATCAGAATTGACTCGACAGCATACAGCAACAACATTTACACACACAGGAGAAAACCAGGTGTGGTTAGGGTCGTTTTGTGCCGTACAGTTGGTTCTGACTCATAGTGACCCCATATAGTTTGTTTCCACAGCTATAAATCTTGACAGGAACAGAAAGCCTCAACTTCCTCCAGCACAGCACCTGGTAGATTCAATTTTTCTGACTTTGAAATTATCAACCCAACTCATAACCCACTCAGCTACCAAGGAATGCTACCAAGAGTGAGGAATAAAATGGAATGGTATGTAGTTGAGGGTTATCAATCTCATTATTTAAAGTAAAGATGAGCTAGAGATATGAGTGGCAAGGGTAGTTACAATACAATTGTCCAGTCTGTTAGAAAAATTATAAGAGGAAACCAGGTTTACTTTTAAGGATGAGCATACAAATGTGTATTAACTATCCTTTCCTATGACAAGGTAGATAAGTTACACTCACAAGTTCATAGACAACAACACTGTGATGGAAGTATCTCCCTCACACATACAAGTGCATATGACTTCATGGTCTGAATCCTATAGTGCATTTAAGTATGAGCACATTAATAGGCCCACAGTTACACTGAAATACCTCACAATGTGATACTATATATCCCTCTGCAAGAAAGGGAGGCTGCCATGGGTCTCAGTCACCTGGGTCAGAGATGTGCTGCTCAGAACTGACCTTGTTGTTGTTAAGTGCTGTCGAGTCGATTCCGACTCACAGCGACCTGTATATGGTTTCCAAGGATGGAACAGCTGGTGAGTTTGAACCACCCACCACTGACCTTGTGGTTCAAACCAATCTTGTGGTCCAGTGCATTATCCTATAGCGTCACAGCAGGACTAGGCTACAGAGGAGTAATCTGGCTCTACGTACACACCAACGTTATCTTAGAGGATGCTGTTGGATATAAGATGTTTGGGTCAGTTGTATGTTCATAGCCTCCACATGGAGAAAATAAAGGGCCTATTCACACTGCCAGCAAAGATGAGCCATGTGCCAAGACCAGACTACAGATCATTTCATAAGCCTGTCAGGATCAGCCTGCTACAAAAGGATCAGACACTCAGGTTCATATGATTGTTTGCTTCTTTAACTCTTTGTGCTGATTTCCAGGTGAGAAGAGTGGGTCTCAGGAAGCCCATGGTCAGGCTATAGTAAAGTCTCGGTTCCAGGTTGAAGCAGCTCTGCTCCAAATACATTTACAGGAAGTAAGAGAAAACCCTGTGGAGTTACTAAATTTATGAACAAGTGCTCATTAAGTAAGTTATACTAAAACACCAACTTGCAAAACCATAAACTCTTCAAAATTTGAAAAACATTTTCATTTGAGAAAACCAGAGTTTCATAGAAAGCAGCATAACACTTACTACAACATGAAATTTTCTTAGTTTTGAGTACTTGCTAATTGTCTTTCTTGGCCCATGAAAGGTAAGTTCCTGAGAAAGGACTGCCATTGTGCTTCCTGCTGCATACCGTCAGTGTCTAAAAAAGTGCCTAGCATATAGCAGAAACGCACAGCCAACTGGTTGAAAGAATAAAATCAACATGTAATTTAGGCTTGGTTTAAGTCCAGCCATCCTAGAATGCATTTCTCTGCTAGAAGCTTCTGAGCTATACAGAAGACATGGAGTCCTGGTGTGGCACTGCAGGATAATGCAAGGTTGGCAGTTCAAACTCCCTGGCCACTCCTTGGAAACCCTATACAGTGTCACCATGAGTCAGAACGAACTCAGTGGCACTTAACAACAGTAACAAAGACAACATAGAATAAACAAATTACTGATTATTCAGTATCTACTTTTGTTCCTAATATAACATATACATCTGGGCCTGCTGAGGCTGGCATGGAGTCTGTCTAGGTTGACCAGAACCAGGTTCCATGAAGACAGAGGACGGCACTGTATGTGGCTAGCAACTACCACATGAACTCAGTACTTTTCATTCAACAAATGTTTATCGAACATCTAGCACCTCTGTTCTTCTAGGTGCTGGTGAAACAACAGCGAGGGATGTTTACAGGAAGTAAACATTGTAGTTAGAAAAAGTACACATAAACAGAAAGTATGCTGAATGGTGATGCTGCTATTAAAAATGAAGGAGGTTAACAGAGTGAAAGGGGTGGGATGTGTGTGAAGGTGCTATTTATACAGGGTGGTCAGAAAAAGTTTCCCTCTGACGGATGAACAGCTGAGAATCTTAAGACATGAACAAACCAGGTGAACTGGATAGGATCTCTGGGAAACCAGTGAACAGCTATGGGATTTGGGTGGTGGGGTAGTGATGCTCCCGGTCTACCTGAATCTTTACAGAAGACAGGAAAATATTTCTACCCTGAAATAAACTAAAAAAAGCTAACCTAACTTGCTGCCTATATTATTGTTATATATGAATTTCTTCAGGCATGCAAGAGGTAATGCCTCTGAAGGAGAGAGAATGGCCCAAAGGTAAAAATAAGACAAGAAGTGAAGGAAAAGTTTTGTTATGGATTGGGCTGTGCCCCCTAATATGTTGTCGTTGTTATGTGCCGTGGAGTCAGTCCCGACTCACAGCCACCCTGAACAGGGTTTATGAGGTTGTAAATCTTTACGGGAGCAAAAAGCCTCATCTTTCTCCCATGGAACAGCTGGTAGTTTCAAACTGCTGACCCTGAGGTTAGTAGCCCGATTTGTAACCACTACACTACCAGAGGTCCTTGCCCCCCAATACATGTTGTAAATTCTAATCTCTATACCTGTAATTCCAGTCCCATTTGGGGATGTCTTGTCTTTGCTATGTTAATGGGGCAGGATTAGTGTAGGTGTGTCTTAAATCAATCTCTTACAAACTATGAAAAGAGTAGGTAAGCAGGCAGAGATATGGGGGAAGACAGATGCCAAGTCAATCTCTTACAAACTACGAAAAGAGTAGGTAAGCAGGCAGAGATATGGGGGAAGACAGATGCCAAGTCACCGGGAAATCTTCACAGAAGCCGGAATGGGAAACAGAAGCTGAACAGACAAGAAACTGCCCCCAAAGCTGACACAGAAAGTCTTCCCTGCTGCTGTTGCTGTTGAGTGTCACTGAGTCAGTTCTGACTCACAGTGAAGCTATATAGGGTTTCCAAGCAGCTGGTGGGTTTGAACCACCAACCTTGTGGTTCACAGTCAGCACTTAGCCTATAGTACCACACTAGGAGTCTGTATTTGTTATGGCAGTACTAGATAACCAAGACAGCCTTTATACTCTTCAGTATTTCATTCAAGGCAAGTACCCTTGTTCACCTTCAATGTGATGTTGCTAACTCTTACATGCATGTGGAATTCATGTACAAAGTTTATTAAGGAAAAAAACCACCTACTGCCATCAAGTCAATTCCAGCTCACAGAGCTCCTGTAAGACAGAGTAGAGCTGCCCCGTTGGGTCAGCAAAACTATAAATATTTACAGAAGCAGACAGCCACATCTTTCTCTCTCAGATGGGCTGGTGGAGTCAAACCATCAGCCTTTCAGATAGTAGTCAACTGCTTAATCACCATGTCACCAGGAGTAAGAGGCCTGACTCGCATTTCAATCTCTCAGCTGTGGGCCTCAGTGAAGGCATAGGAAATATGGTTGTTAAGAAAGGGAGTGTCACTTTCCCAGCTCCTTACATGAGACTCTGGGAGAAAGGCACCATCTAGGGACACCCAGCACCAACATGGGACACACCAACTAGTGAAGAAGGCAAAGTGGAGTGGTCAAAGGGTTTCATTTACCTTTTCAGCTCTTTTAATGTGAAGGTAATTTTCCTGGGGCCCAATTGGCAGGAACCAGGTGACCCCTTGTTAGAGGCTGAAGGGGACACCTCTTGAAGCCAGGAGGACCAAGTCAATTATGAATCGGAGACTCTGTGGGTTCTACAACTGTTCAGAGCCAAGGTGAAGCTGAGTCAGCAGTGAGCAGCCTATAGGCCCTGGTTTAGTCAACCAAGAACAGACCACAAGTTCTGTCATCAAATGTAGGTGCCTGCAATGAATGCCAGCAAAATGGCAGGGACAGAGCAGGCCAACCACAGCCGTAGGTTTGTCAGACCAGCCCCTCCTCAGCTGGAATGACAAGAATCTAGAGGTGCTTTAGGAATGCAAGTGCCTTTACTGGGCTCCTGTAAGTTCAGTTACTGACTCAGCACATCCTGTGAAAAGAACCTCCTAACCAGTCTGTGTTCCAATGAGAGAAAGAGTGTAACATCAAGGTGGCCTCAGCGTCTTCACCAAAAAGACTGAGCATTACCTAACTACTGTTTAAACACGTTTCTTCAGACTGCCATGTTAGAGTATAAGAAATCTTATGAGAGACCAGATCAGTTATAGACAAAAGTAAGTGACATTTTCTTAGACATAATGGTGGTAAGAGATCTCTGTATATGTAACTGGACTAATGGAATGGAATACGTTTTTTTTTTTTCATGATACTAGTCAGTATTTTCTCAGAATAGTAACTAATAGGTTAATTCAACAAACATTCACTGTACAGACTCCTCAATTTATGGCAGGGCGTTGTTGCGACATTGTTGGATGTTGGTTCTGACATTCATTTTAAAATTTTCCATTATTATTACCTTTTAGTATCAGTATCTGGTAATTAGGATCTTTATTTGTCTTTGGGGATTGGCTTGAGAATGATAACATCGAAAAATTACACGTTGCAAAGCTATGTAGTTCATATTGCTAAGGATAAGATATGCACACACAAAGAAAGATAGTTGTGAATGCAGTGGCTCATCATAATTAGACTATACTGTAAATTGGGGGCTCCATGTAATTACAATGCATAAAGGCCAATAACATAGTAGATGAGGAGTCCTGGTGTGGCGCTATAAGATAAGCACTAGATTGGTAACCATCAAATTCCAGTTTCAAACCAAACAACCACTCCTCTGAAACTCCATAGAGGATTGCTATGAGCCAGAACCGACTCAACAGCACTTAACAACACCACAGCAGAGGAGGAATTGGGGGTTCAATCGTAGCATTCTTGCCTCCCATTTGGGAGCCCTGGATTCGATTCTCGGTCATGGTACTTCCTTCATATACAGTCACATCCATCCACCAGTGGAAGTCTGTGGATTGCTTGCTATCAGGCTGAACAGGTCTCAGCAGAGCTTCCAAACTAAGATGGAAGAAAGACCTGGCTATCTACTTCTGAAAATCAGCTAAGGAAAACCCTCAGGATCACAGAAGAACACGGTCCAGTCCACAATTGATCAGGGAGATGGTGCAGGGTCGGGAGAACATTCCCTTCAGTTGTGCATGGGGTCATCAATGAGTTGGAGGCCAACTCGATGCCAGCTAACAATAGTAATTGCTATGGTGATAAAAAGTAAAAACAGAAGTGGGCTTTGTCTTTTTAGGTTGAAAAACAAAAGGAGATACAATACTAGAGTAAATATTTTTTAAAAAACTGAAAAGACAGAAAATGATAAATGCCCTAAGAAAAATAACCGGAAAATTCCAGGCTAGTGGTTCTTCCCACAGAATCAGTAGCTTCAGAAGTCCACTAACCCCTGACGTGCACGCAGGATGACGAAATGTGCTCACAGATTCCAGTGCGTGAACGTCCCTTTGTGTAGTGAGTGGTTCTGTCAGCTCCATAAGCTTCTCCAAGGGGACACATAAATACGTAAAACTGCACTAATAAACAAGACTCCTTATTCCAGTTACGATCCTCAAGGAAGAGTTTGTGGAGTAGATACCATCTGAAGATGAGTAAAATCTTGTTATGTGGAGACGGGACAACCGGCTAGGCTACAGAAGAACAAGAGCAGAAACAAATATTCTCTATATTCAAAGTTTTCCTTGTGTTTCCTGTTACATACTTACAGTAAACCTCTTCTTTTTCTCTCTGTGTTCATCAGAGCTGGGAATGCTAACACTTGGGCAGCTTTCCTTGTTGTCCATGGTACAATCTCTTTGGGTTTAATACCTCAAAAGGACACCAAAAACTGAATCCGAAGAAACAGTCAGAAGAAGACAAACACCAATAACTAATCCGAAATATAAAACCTCTTGAGGTAATGTTCAAATTCCATCATGCAACCTTAACCAACAGAAAGAAAAAAAAAAAAAAGAATTGATTAGCAAAACAACTTTTAAAATACCATGCTTTGTCATTCCTTGTTCATCGGACTCACTTCATGTCATGTTACTTCTGACAGTAAATTATTTTTGGTCTTAAGTCTTACCTCAGGTTAGACCTTTAGTTTCATTTACAGTCCTATCCTATAACAAAACCATAAACATCTGCATCCTATTTACCTTCCCCAGCTAGGAATCTCTCAAAGCTTATTCACCACAAGTTCATGTGGCTGAAGGGTTAACTCTCCCCTAAATGGGTCGCTATGAGTCAGTACTGACTCAACGGCACTGTAAAAACCACAAGAGAACTCTAGTTTAATGGATTCAGAGTGGGGTTCTTCAAAGTGGTGGATGCAGTTACACTTCTGCATCACGATGACCTGGTGGAGTTTGCTGAGAAATTCAGGTTACTGGGGTCCATACAAAACCTAAAGAATCAGAATTTTTTTTATTCCATTTTATTTCATGTTGTTGTTGTTAGGTGCCACTGAGTCGGTACCGACTCACAGAGACCTTATGCATAGCAGAACGAAACAATGCCCGATTTTAATTCATAAACAATACTTAAAAGCTTTTCATGAACTCCTGATGTGGGGCTGTAGGATAAAGACTGGACTGCTGACCACAAGGCTGGTGTTTCAAACCCACACTGCTCCTTGGAGACCCTATACATGGTGGCTATAAGTAGAAACTGAATCAACGGCACTTAACAACAAGGCTTTTCTTTCACATACCCAGTAATTTACAAATAACCACTCATGTAGTTCTCAAAATAATCCCCTATTTTAACACAATTTACCTGTTTTATAAATGAGGCACCAGAGACACAGAGAGGTTGTGCAATTTTCTTATCCAGGCTATGGAGCCTAGGTACCTGTATCTAGAGTTTCAAGGCTTAGCTACTGTGCTATGCTGCATTTTTAAACTTTTTATTGCGAATTGAGTGAAGATTTACATACAAGATCATATGCTTTACATTCAATAAATCATACACTTGGTTTCATCTCAATGATTACAATTCCCTCCCTGCAACAACAGATATCACACTCAGGTCATCTTTTCTAAACAAAACAGCCCTACTCACTCTCCAACGACACCAAATAAAACCTTTTAAAAGGTCATCTTCCCAGTTTCCCTGGATGCTACCCTTTCAGTCCCATACGGTTGACTGTATTAAGGAGTACCTTCCTCTCTTGGTGTTACTAGTCACTTCACACTCCTGCCTACTGTTTGGCTGAAAATTCATCGCCAGGGTCACAGTCTTGGGGGTTCTACTAGTCTCTATCAGACCAGTAAATTTGGTATTTTTATGATTTTGAACTTTACTCTAGCTTTTTCCACCACTTCCTCCCTCTCTGTCCAAGACCTTCTATTGTTACCCATTAAGCAATTCTTTAATGTCTCTTAAGCTAGCATAAGGGCATTAGTTAGAATGATCCATGGGAGCAGGCATTGAATAGACACATGTGGCTAAGAATGCTGAACTCCAAATTTACCTGAAAGTTCCTGCTAAAAGCAGCAAATTACCCTCCTTTGAGTAGACCCAGTCTCTCAATCTCCCCATAAAACCTTTTAGAAGTTTTTCAAAAGCAGATGCTAATTCTCCTCTCCACCCATTCCACCTACCCCTCACTGCCTATGATGAGAATTAGCTAACAAAAGAGTTACAAAAGAAGTTCAAACTCCACTCGAGGATAAGATCATTTTTCTTAGGTATATATTTTTTAAAAGCTCAGTTTTCTCAGGAGACTAGGGGGTAAGTTCAAAGGATAATGGATCAAGGAGGCCTAAACCTAAAACTATGAGTATGGGTGTTCATGAGTATGGGTGTCCTTATTTCTGATTCCAGACTTAATGTGTTAGTTTCAGCACCAGAGGGAGGCACTAAAGAGCAGCTGGACTGAGCGTGGCCTACAGGCAGAGGCTGGGATGCTAGAACTTTCCTGGCACCCTGAAGAGAAAGGAAGTTGAGAGATGAAATACAAGCTCATCTCTGCTGTGCCCAAACATATTCCTCCAAGCCTCCATCCAAGGGCCTGGAGCGACAGAGCACCCTCTGTTCCCAGCATAGGTGTACCACCATCCTCAAAGAGCCCTGTGGTGGCCTCACTTGTGGCCTGAAGATGCTGCACTGGAGCTAGTCTCTCTGATACCAAGAGCCAGGCAGCAGCGCCATCAGAGATGAGACAGGCACAATGACCAGAATGAGCCACAAAGGCTGAGCATGTTGACCTGCAGGAATCTGGGACAGTGACTAACTTATCACAAGGACTTTGAGATGTTGACCTCTGCATCTCACAAGCTCCTTGCCCTAGAGCTACTGGCTGATACAGCTAATAAGAGGCCCAAGAAGGCTAGAGGGTCACAGAAGACAGGTCAAAGTCTGTCTTTTCTCACCCTACTCCCTCCCAGCCAAGCTGCAGTTTGGTAGTTGCTATGTTTCTCTCCCTGAAATCACAGCTCCTGCCAGGTAACCCCTCTCCCATGACTACAGGGAGAAGGCAATCGCCTCCATGAGTCCTTGAACAAATTCACATTCTCTGAGCCCTAGTTTTCTAATCTAGAAATGAGAGTAACAATACCTATTTCTTGTGGTTGTTGTAAGGACTGCTGTTGTTGTTAGGTGCCTTGGAGTTGGTTCTGACTCACAGCAACCCTATATAGGTTTTCCGAGGCTGTAAATCATTGCAGGTGCAGAAAGCCTAATCTTCCTTCAACAGAGTGGCTGGTGGGTGTGAACTGCCAACCTTGTGCTTAGCTGTCTAGGACTTATCGTAAGCACCACCAGGGCTCCTTGTAAGGACTAGAACTCTATTAAGTTGTCACTAACTAGGCTCTGTTGCTGTTCATTGCCAGTGAGTTGACCATGATGATGCAAATGGAGTAAAACTTTTAGGACCTTCATTCACAAGTAAGGCACAACTCAAAACAAGGAGAAAGAGTTGCAAACAAAATGGGGGGATTGATCTTTCATTGGAACATGGAAGGCACAACGTACGAACCTAAGAAATCTGGAAGTTTTCAAAAATGAAATGGAATGCATAAACAACCATTTCCAAGACATTAGTGAGCTGAAATGGATGGGTATTGGCCATTTTGAATCTGACAATCACATGGTTTACTAGACTGGGAATGAAAAATTCAAAAGGAATGGCATCACATTCATCATCAAAAAGAACACATCAAGATCTATCCTGAAGAATAATGCTGTCGTCTGTGAATAGGATTACATCCATATGCCTACATGGAAGATCAATTAATACCACTAATATTCAAATTTATGCACCAACCATTAAAGTGAATGTTGATGAAACTGAAGAATTCTACCAACTTCTTCAGTCTGAAATTGTTCAAACATGCAATCAAGATGTATTGATAATTACTGGTGACTGCACTGCAAAGGTTGGAAACAAAGAGGAAGGATCAGTCGCTGGAAAATACGGCCTTGGTGATAGAAATGATGCTGGAGATTGCATGATAATATTTTACAAGGCCAATGACTTGTTCATTGCAAATACCTTTTTTAAACAACATAAAAGAAGACTATACATAGGACCTCACCACATGGAATACACAGAAATCAAACTGACTACATATGTGGAAAAAACAGTGGAAAAGCGCCATATCATCAGTCAAAACAAGGCAAGGAGCAGACTGTGGAACAGACTATCAATTGCTCTTATGCAAATTCAGGCTGATGCTGAAGAAAATTGAAACAAGTCCACAAGAGTCAAAATATGATCCTGGACATCAATCCCATCTGGCTTTAGAGATCATCTGAAGAACAGATTTGATGCATCAGACACTAAAGACTGAAGACCAGAAGAGTTGTGGAATGACATCATACAAGAAAGCAAAAGAACATCATACAGGAAAAAAGTAAAAGGTCATTAAGAAGACATGTAAGAAGGAAAAGACAAAAATGGATTATCAGAAGAGACTCTGAAACTTGCTCTCCAGTGTAGAGATGCAAT